GGATGGATAGACAGACAGAGAGCGATATCAAGCCTTTTGGATTGGAGGTTGACTCCTTCCTGGTTATGGCCCTTGAGGCTCCTTCTTTGACTCCCCAGCCCCAGAGCCCTCGTGTGTGCTGGGGTTCGCACTGCCCTCGCCGTAGAGCTGGGAATTCCTGGGTGATGCGTGTGGTGCGCCACACAGGAGGGCCGGGGGCTCCATGTGCTTTGTGAGTGGGAATTCTCTGGTTCGACCAATATTTAGGTCAATTCTCAGGCAGGAGCCAATGAGCATGTACGTCTGCCTAGAGACCTACCTCACAGATGTTGGGGTTCAGCTTCAGGCCACTGCAATCAATCCAATATGAAAGCAGAGCCGGTCGCACAAAGGCTTTGCTTTCCCAGCATATGAATGCTATGTCGACCCTAGCTTGTACACTCATGTGCAATTTAACATTATGAAAGTTGGGGATAGTGTGAGAATGGCTGGCATGACACACAGAGGCACAAAGCGAGCACATTTGCTGTTGGGGAAATGGGGCCCAAAAGCTTGCTGGACACAGGCCAGCCACGGACCGTCAATGCATGAAGAATGCCATATCTGAGAAGCGCCATAAAATTGGGTGTGCCTGCCTTTGACCTCTGCCCTCCAGGGGAGGAAGTCTGTAAGGTGGAGGTTCTCAGCCTTCTCTTCCTCCCAGCATGCACTGTGGTGACATTCAGATGACTGGATGGCTGGACAAACACACCCAGCATTTCCCAGGGACCCACCTGCCTGCACTCATTCCTCTCCTGCCAGAAAAGCACCCACCGAGATTCCACTCACATCGTACTTGAATGAGTGAATGAATGAATGAAATACAAATAAAAGGCAAGGCATCCAGCATGTACCAGAGGACTTCCAAAAGATCACGGAGAATTTCCGTCATCTTTGAATTCCATTTTTCCACGGCCTTCATGAAGCTTCCTCATTCAACCAAAGCAATATATTAAGCCAAACTTAAACCAAAACAATCATCTGGCTACCATTTGTCGGCCAGGCAGTGCCCCGCTTGCACCTGCTGCCTTAGGAGTAGGAACGAGGGGCAGGGCCTCGAAGGTGCGTGGGAAGACGTGCTTGGGAAGTGAGGCCAGTGATTAAAGGGGTCTGGCTGCTGGCCCCTGTGCAGCTGTGGCACGGTTCTCTGGGTGGCACGGTGCTCTGGGCGACCTTTGCCGAGTGCCAGGCTGAGGTGCTAAGCCCTTAGCAGTGACTCTGGGGACTGCAGACACTCAGGACCTTCATGATGCCTTGGCTGCTTGGCCCGGTGGGCCTCCCAGCCTAGCAGGCAAGTATGGGCTAGACCTGCCAAGGCAGCGGTCTGAAGCCTCAGGGCCCAGCCCAACCCAGCGCAGGCCAGCCCAGCAGGACCAACGGTTCCCTCTCCTCCGAGCAGTGTGTGCATGCAGTGAGGGCTTGGAACACATCGCTCTCTGCCCAGGATGATGTACTCGTTGCAGGGTCCATCAGAGACTCTGCTCACTCTCTGAGTCGTCGGGGGGATGGGACCCCCGCATGTTTGGATTTCCATTGGGTTCTTCGAGTTGTCCGGAACCCTCACTGTGGAGACTGCCCTTGACCATGCAGAACAATCACTCCGCAAGCATTTACGGAGCTCCCACGACTGTGCCCCACACAGTGTCAGGCCCTGGCGATCGCTAGATGACAGAAACCGGCTTGAGAGAAGCCCCCAGTGTTAGGTATACCAGTAAGCAAAGGAAGCACAGGAGGATGTGTGCTTACTTACTAATCTGTAGTGAACAATTTTATTTTTTATTTGTTTCCACCACACATCAAAGATTCTGCTTTGAGGTCAGGCCCACACCCCGCTCCCCACCTCCAGCCCCTTCCTGAACAGAACCAAAGATGCTTTTCAGAGTTATAACCCCTGACACGAGTGGAGTCCGTTCTCAGCAAGGTAAGCATGGGCTGGCTTGTGCTACACACTCATCTGTACCGAACAGTTTCACTGTTTCCCATCATGTCAAAGACTGGTGAAGCCCATGTGAAACTGCTCACTACTGACTCATCAGAAAGCACAGGTCAGCCTGTGCTTGCCTTGCTTATTGGGCTTTCTGCCCCTGTCCACCCCCTCTTTCTGTGCTCAGAGTTAGGGCTAGGGTAGCCTGGGAACTTGTGCCTTTGGGTAAGGTGACCAGACGTCCCGCTTTTGGCGGGACAGTCCTGATTTTTAACATTTTTTTCCGCGTCTTGCGGCATTTTTTAAAAGTCCCGATTTTTGGAAAGAATGCACGACAAGCTAGGGTATACAGTTTTCGGCTGCCATGTGGCTCTTTCGTCAGGATATGCGTTTTATCAATGGTGTCCTGCTTTTGTCCCTCTTTACCAATGTTAAAATCTGGTCACCTTACCTTTGGAGAAACTGGGATTTCTAATTGGTCTCCAACCCCTTCTTCCCCCATCCAGACTCTCTGAGCCCATTGCAGGTGTGTGATGAGCCTCGTGTCCCACCTGAGGTCCGGGCTCCTCCCCTCTGTCATAAGGAGCGTTCCACGAAGGCAGCCCAGCATCAGAAACCTGTCCGGCATGGCTGGGGGTGAGTGACATTGCGTGATGCAGAGTCTCCGTTCATGGCGCTGAAACAAGACAGGTGGGGAGATGGAGAATGGTGACCCAGCAGGAAGACCACAACTGGGCTTGTTGAATTGCTCGTGTAGAAAATGTTAAATGGGTGTGTGTTTGCGAGATCTATTTTCACCAGAAATAAGTTAAAAGAATCTCTTGGACAGAAGAGCTGGATCACCCAGGAATTCTCAAGACTCCTTGCTTCTGCGGGGCCCGGGTGGCCCAGTGGGTTAAGGATTGGACTGCTGACTGCAAGGCCAGCGGTTCAGAACAACCGGCAGCCACTCCAGGGGAGGAAGGTGGGATTTTTTGCCCCCAGGAAGACTCACAGTCTCAGAAACTCACTGGGGCCGTTCTGCCCTGTCCTAAGAGCCGCGACGAGTCAGCATGGACTCAGTGTCCGTGAGTCTGCTTGTATTTTGTTTTTCTAGTTTCGGCCTGAGTGACAGAGACCAGTAGCATGAGCAGTGTGGTCGCTGCCTCCCAGGAGAAATTGCACCGCGGGGCGGACTGCAAGCACGAGGACCTCACCAGACCAGCCTGACACGGCTGCTCTGCTTGGTTGTCTCAGCTCCGTAGGGAAACTGCCAAATTTGTTTTGCGCCATTGTTCTGGAACCTTCTGTTTCCTGTGGTCGGAGCCCAGGTGGGTTGTGCGTGGGGCTGCTAATCTTAAAGTCAGCAGTTATAAGCCACCACCCCTCTGCGGGGATAAAGGCAAGGCTGTCTGCTCCCATCAAGAGTCACCGTCTTTGAAAGCGACAGGGGCAGTTCTAGCCGACGATCCCATAGGGCCGCCGCTATGAGTCAGGTGCACTCAAGGGCAGTGGTTTGGGTCTGGCTTTTGGGTGACCTACAGTTAGATGCATGCTGAGTGAACGCCTGTTCTTTGTCTTCTCCTGGGACCCCCAGTCACTTGGCTTAGTATCCTGCCGAGCCCACAGTCCCATCTTTGAGACGAGCTCATGTTTGAAGCAGGGGCTATATTTCAAGCTTCAGCTAATAAAAGGGATTTTCCTTCCTAGGAAAATTGGCTGTAGATCACACTGCACTTCAGTGTGATTTGGGTTCAAGCCAAATCCCCTTAGCCCGCACTGGCCGCCTTTCTCTCCAGATGACCCTGCCTATCCTATTGGCTCTTAGGAGAGGCTCCTTCCTCTCTAAAAGGTCCTACAAGAGAAACAGAACATTTCGTCACCGACCTAGCACACAGGAACTTTTCACAAGGGTTGTTTTGTTTTTCTTTCTCCAGTTATGATGGAAGTACCCAAGGGAAAAGTAGTGTTTAAAGTACTAGAACAATGCAGTTTTCCTCTAGTTTACTGATACGTCTGGGCTCTACTGCTATTATCAGCAGGGGGATTGCTGCAAAGCAAAGCACCCTCTCAACTTAGTGGCTCCAGCCGAGATGTCTCAGAATTCGAGGCTGGGCTTTGCCAGGCGATTCTTCTGCTCCACACCGTATCTTTGGGGGTTAGAACAGCCATGCTGTCTTCTTTACTCACAGGTCTGGGATGTTCACTGGGATCGTGGGAACAGCTGAGATTGGCCTAGCACCTCTCTTTCCATGTTGCCTCTCCAACAGCAGTCGCCAAACTTCATTATGTGTTAACCCAGGGTTCTAAGAGAGTATTCCAGGAGGTCAAAGTTGAATGTTCAAGTATTTATCAAGCCTTTGCTTATATGACACCACTGCCCCAGTTTGCCTGTCACTTGTCGCCAGGAAGCAGGAAGCCATGCGTGTCACTGGTGTGTCAAATTCCAGCAGAACCACCTGAAGTGAGCAGATCTCAGCAGGGCTTCCAGACTGAGCGCAGACTTGGCAGAAAGAAGTGGGGAGGAGCTGCCTTCTCAAAGTAGAGTTGGCCGTCAGATGTGAATGGAGTCAAGCCCATGGAAGCAAAGCCTTCAGGACCTTCCTTTACTGATGGGGTGCAATTCAAAATGAGAAGGGGGAAAAAACAAACCAGTGTGAATCTAGGAAACTTGGAAGTTGTCAAAAAGGAAAGAGCAATAGTCCAGGCATTAGGACAGTGCAATGGACCGGTACTGGCCATTTTTGAATCAGGAAATCAGGCTCAGAGTTTGGATAGGAATCCACTGAGTCACGTGGCGCCCCAACAATGAACTTCCTTCCTTTGTTACAACCTGCTTGGCGTTGACGACTCCCCCAGAGAATCTCCAGTAACGTTTCTGGTGCACTGACCTCTTCTCTGCACTTGAAGGACTGGCCAAGATGCTGTTACTTTCCCCAGAAGCTTCGGGTGCTGTGAGGGGCCCTCATCCACGGGGGAGACTGTCTGCTGCGCATGCTAGCAGGATTACCTCGTCGAGTTTGAGCCAACCCATCCGTGCCGAGCAGCCTCCGGAGACTTCATTCCAGGCCAACAACTAATACATCATGCCCTGGCCCAGCCACAAACCGGGAGCTAGCTGGTCCTCACACAGCCCGGAACGTGAGCAACATCATCACGGGGCTCTCTGCGCTGGGGCTCTGGGGCGCTAGACGAGTTAAGGCAGAGGACTGTGAACTGTGTACTACCATCTCTCAAAACAGACTAGCCCAGGACTACCTATAAGCAGCAGAAGGAAGGGTATGTGGGAAGTTTGCTCTTACCTAGTGTTGCATTCAACTAGACGATCAGGGTCAGGCAGTTGAAAGTATCGTGAAGAATATGCAGAAAGTTGCCTGTGTCCCTGTGTAAACACAGACCCGGCAGCATTCCCAGAGCCTTTGGGAAGGATGGTTCTCCACCTTTGAAGGATTCAAAACCCCGTAGGAGGAGTCCTATTTCCAGTTCAAGCTTTATCCGATCCTCCCCTGCCTCCTTCCTCCAGCAACCAGAGCTTTACGCTGTACCATTGAGACAGCTGTCAGTCAATAGGAGACGGCACAGGTGTTCTACATCCAATATCACCCACTGCTGCAAGAACAGGCAGATAGCGAGGCTCCAGCTGAGTGTGTTCCAGAGCCTCAAAGGGGGGGTGAGACCAGAACAGCACCCCATTCCAGAGGTGAGAGCACACAGCCCACCCCAATCGCATGCAATTGTTTTAATGAACATCCTGATGCTACCTCCAGTCTAGGAGAGAACAAAGCCGTAGGGTTAGTGCTAAAACCATAGAGTTAATACTTCGCGTTTCTGTTTCTGTAAACTGTTTACTGTTTACTTACTCACATGCCCCTTCCCAGTTTGAATCAGCTGATCCCAACCCTGTACCTCTCCCTCCACCCCTCTTGAAAACACTCCAAAGGCCGCACTACTATTTAGGTTGAGGCTACTGAGCCACATGCCGGCACACCAATAAAGTTCTTCCTGTTAGAGAAAAATAAAGGAAATCATATGGTTTGCCCTGTTAAGAATGGCAGATTCAGGAGGAATGGTACCACATTCATGATCAAAAAGAGCGTTTTAAGATCTGTCTTGAAGTTCAATGCTGTCTGATAGCACACTATCTATCCGCATACAAGGAAATCCAATCAATACAACGATTGTGCAAATTTACACCCCAACAACTAAAGCGAGAGATGCGGACATTGAAGACTGCTACCAATGCCTTCCGTCTGAAATTGATCAAACGCGTCATCAAGATGCGCTGCTCATGATTGGTGGTTGGAATGCAAAAGATGGAAACAAAGAGGAAAGAGCCGTAGTTGGAAAACACGGTCTTCCCGATGGCGTCCGACACAGGGGAAGGTTGGCCATGGAATAAGAAGAGTCGATGCATTGAACCGTGGTGCTGGAGACGAACACTGCCATGCCATAGACTGCCGGAAGAATCCACAGACCTGTCTTGGGAAACGTGCCACCACATTGCCCTTTAGAGGCACAGTCGTGGGACTTCATCTCACAAACTTTGACCATGTTGTCAAGGGACCAGTCTCTGGAGAAGGACATCGTGCTCGGTGAACTAGACGGGCAGGAAAGGAGAAGAGGCTCTTGACAAGATGGTGGGCACAGAGACTGCAAGGATGGGCTCACCCGTAAGGACCAAGTGAGGATGGCGCAGAACCGGGCAGTGTTCGGTTCGGTTGTACATCCGGTAGCTGTGCGTCAGAGCCGCCGACACAATGGCAACGAACAACAATGCCCGAGCTGCTCATCGAATCGAGTCACCTGGCCAAGGCGAGCACCAGTGGAGAGGCTTGGCTCATAGGAAACCGCCTTGGTAATTGTTTATCTTCGACGACCCGCAATAGCTTAACCCCAGGTCAACTCTCCTTTGGTCTCTGCCAGCTTTGTAACGGTAAGTGTCGTGTGGCGATAAATAGCCACAGTGACACATCAACGATGCCAACATGTTGTGTATTTGTGCCAACTGGCCTCTTCTGGACCAACCGCTGATCATCTAACATGGATTCAGGCACCAAACCAATGTGGATTCAAATCCTAGTTTCAAGGCAGGAGACTGGAAATGGTTAGCCAGTCTGCAGAGTCTGCCACAAGTCAGCAGCTTCGAACAGGCTGCAGTGAACGTTCTTCTTGGCCCAGAGGGGATCCTGGATGAGCAGGTTCCCTCCATGTCTGTTTGCTACAACCTCCAAGAAGTCATAGAATGACGTGGCCAAGGGCTTAAACCCCAGAGTCAGACAGCCTGCATGGATACGGGTCCGGCTTTGTTCTGGGCCAGCTGTGCTCCCATGGGGAACTGTGTGCCCCCTCTCAGCCTCGGGGTCCTCTGCTTGACCACGAAAGCAGCCATGGACACCTCCCAGTGGAACTGTCAGGGTGAAGATTGAGCTAACACAAGCACGGTGCCTGGCTAACACAGGAGCTC